TTAGAGCCACCATTTATACACTCACAAAAAATAAATAAATAAATACAAGCTTTCTCAGTAGGTGCTATCCCAAAGAAATGATCTTTGTTACCTATTTTTCAGATGTTGGACACTACCAAGACACCTGAACTTCCCGTTGACCATAATTGCCATCCTAGTGCAAAGAGCTTCACATTCTTCCATACTGTTGGAAAAGAGAATAAGGGTTAAGCTCTAGAGAGTTGCTCCTATAACCATTAGATATCACCACGGCATCCAACATTTCACAGAAACATTCCCAGCTTCCTAAGATATGACTGCATCCTTTTACAAACACATGAAGATCAGGAATAACACCATTCACTGCAGTGCTGTTTACAACTGGGACAAAGCTGGAAACAATCTAAATGTCTACGCAAAGTAGAACAATAAAACAAGTTTGGAGCATATCCTAATGGACTACTATTCAGTTATAAGAAATGATGACTGACTTGGAATAACATTCATGATATACTGTTAAACAAAAAAGATCAGTATTACACTAAGCTTGCATTTTTGTTTATAAATCACACACTTGTGTATTTAGACTTGCATAAGAAAATGGCAGACATATTATTGCCCAATGATAGTAATAGTTATCTACAAGTGATGCAATTCAGATGATTATAATCATTTTTTCTCTTTGCCTTTTTGTATTTTCTTGTTTTTACGCAATGATCATGCATATCAATTTTAAAATCCCACCCTGAAGAAGCTAAGCCAGGTCTTTACTACAGACCTATGAGATGTAAGCACCACTGATCTGCCCTCCTTGACGATACTTAGGGCACAATTCCACAGAAATCGCCGGGCTTTGGGATCCATGCCGGTGGTTGGCTCATCCTGTAATTAGAAGAAAATAAGTCCTATTATTTGCTGGGGGAAAAAAAACATCAAAGACAGATTTGCTTTCAGATGCCGAAGCATCTCTGAAATAGCCTAAATTTTAATTCAACCATTCTAGTTATTTATTGATGGACCAAAGAACCAGACCTTACATACAAGAACCAGTTCACTTTTATAAATGTCTCACCAAAGCAGAAAACTCAACTTACATTTTTATGAAATTAAATTTTTTCCACATAAACAGAAATGGAAGGGAAAAGAAACCATTTAGTTTCAATCATCTTCATGACTGACAAATATATACTAAAAATTATTCTTGTCTGAAAACTCTACAGAGGTCAGTATAAGGTTTTGGTAAAATTTCATCTCTCGTTTTCTTCTTCCAGCTCACTCAGCTTAGCCTGTTCTATTGTACTTGCTAGTCTTAAACAAATTCCAGATCCAAAGGCCTGGCTACCATTAAAGCTTCTTCCCGTAATAACTTCAGTGCTCTTCTCCAGAGAAGGAAAGGGTCAAGGGCCACCATCCCGATTAATCTTCCATTTTTCTGTCTGCACATGAGGAACCCCAAGTGCTACTTCAGGGATCTCAATGCTGTGTCCACACTCTCCATATTCAGGGATGAACACACAGATGTTAAAAAAGAGTGTCAGAGAAAAGGCAAACCACACACCCAGCCTCAGTGCACTTGTTGGGGTTCTCCATGCCAGAAAAACAAGATCCCTGTAGCATCTCCCTTTTCCAAAAGGGAGCCACGCTGGGGTGTGTTAGGGAGAGGCCAAGGCGGCTTTCCCTCTGGTTCTCTGAGGCTGCTCTGCTGTTCCTGGTCAGGGGAGGATGCCTGTCATGGGCAAGCTAATGCAACATCCCTGGACGTACAGGAGTTTAGAAAAGTACTGTTTTTCATGCAAGCCAAAACAGTTTTCCACTTACAGACACTTACCAGAAACACTACAGGAGGTCCGCCGATCAAAGCCATGGCTGTCGAAAGCTTGCGCTTGTTACCTCCACTATAGTTACCAGCATATTTTTCTCCGTACTTCACAAGGCCCAGTTTCCGAATTGCCCACTCACCGACCTAGAGCAATGCAAAGCAACTTGACGTTCATCTGGTTAGGTAACTTGATCATGCTTTCTTACACTTACCTAGGAAACTTCTTTCACTAAGACCAGATTCTATAATCATGATCTAGTAAGTGCCACAGAGCCAAACAGGGACAGTGGCACTTCCTCTCTGCTCTCCAATGTGCCTGCCCACAGCTCCCCCCTCCCCCCCCACCACGGAGTCCTGCCCTGAAAGCTGGGGCACAGAGCCACTTTCAGGTATAGGAAATAGGGGAATCATATGCAGAATACAAAATTCTACATCTTAGAATACGTAACTTTTGGGAAATAGTCATAATATATTCATTAACAATGAAAACTAATTTTAAAAATGTAGATACTATATGATTCAATTTTACAATACGCCCATGGAGAAAAACAGCCTGAAGCCGATGGTCATGCAAAAGTCAAGGCCATGAGGTACACTGTCGGGATGCCAAACGAGGCAGGCTGGCGCCCACAGTACCTTGCCCACTTCTTTCTCTGGGACTCCTCTCAAGAGGGCAAAGAACTCCACGTGTTCCCTCCCGGTCATCAGCTCTGTGATGGCATCAAACTGAGGGCAATAGCCCATGTTTTGATGAACTTCATGGATGTTTGATAAGATACTGCAAAGAAAAACAAAACTGGTCAGGTTTTGGGCATTTAGAGATACTCCGATCAGACAATCCTGCCTAATGTTCCTATGAAGTATGTTTGTATGTGACAAAAAATACCAGTGAGCAAACTTGCTGTAGGAACAGCCTTTCTGCCCCAGGACGCCGGCCCCTCCTGCAGTCAGGAGCCCTGTCCCCATCCTGCCCAGTCTTTGCATCTGGTTCCCGCCAACACTTCCATCTGTAGGCTCAGTCCTGTCTGAGAGCTCCTGAGTCCTTCCCAAGCACAGCACCATCTTTATCAATACTCTCAGTCATACGATTCTAGGGCCATAACGCTAATTTCTACCCCAGACTTGACTCTGTGGTCCAGGCATATGCCCCCCAGTGCCTGGTTGCTCCACAGTCTCTTCCCTGGCTGTTCTGATCCAGAGGAGGCCCAGCAACTCTGGGTGTGACCTCCCTCTGCTCTTTGCTGCCCATACACAGACTCCGCCACATCATGTCCCAACACCCCCCGCCCCAACCCAGGACCTGCTAAATATCTGATTGAGGCAGCCCCCTGGTTTTTAATGTGACATGAAAAAACAGACCTATAAACACAACTTTATATATATTGGTGGGGCAGCTTTTAGGCACTATAAAGCCAGTGTCGGGTTAAGAACTCCTGATGTATAGCAGAAGCTCAGGGTCCGCATCCAATCTAAGAGCTGCACTTCAGCCGCCACCGCTGGACAGACCTGAGTTTGGTCTTTCAACAGTATCCGTTCTTCTCTGCATATCTAATTAGTACTCCCAGATCCACCCTTTTCCAGAATTATGACTGAGGTGCCCCTGGACATGGCCCAGCTCTCACAGCTACACTGCCCAAGCCAGCTCTTACAACCTTCGTGGGCCACTTACTGCTTTCAGGGGCACATGGCCCAGGCGCCTGGTGCCAGGAACAAGCCTGGGGAAGTAGGTGTGCAGCCTCAGGCCTGCTATTCTAGACTTCTGTTCTCATACCTCCTTCACACTGCTACTGAAAAAACTGCTTAGAGACAAAGGAGGAGATCCATCGGCACATTAAGTTCCTTATGCTCTTCAATTCTATTGGCTAGTACCCTCCCTGCATCCCATCCATTGTGCAAATTGTGAGTCATCAGCCATTAGTGGCTTGTGAAATAAAATTTATTGGGTCACAACCAGTATTTTTAACAACACAGTGTAGAGCGCAGAATAAGAAATGTTAGTGTGCCATGCAAGTCTTTAGAGTAGGTATTGTTTTACAACACTTTATTATATGCTTGTTTATGTCTTTGTATTTACTGGGTTTACATGTAAAATGTTATTTGCTAGTATGGGTCATGGTCAGAAAAGTTCACAAGCGACTGCCTTGTACCATTGCTTACAGGTCTCTAAAGTGTAGCTGCAGATTGCTTAGTGACCTGTGCATTCTCAGATAATAGCCTCATATATTGATACAACCTTCAGAAAGGGCAACTTGGCAAGTGCATACTCTTTACCTTGTAGGAGTTTTCCCTGAGGAAATAATTATAGATGAGTGCAAGGACACACTTTCATAGTAAAAAACCAGAATCTAATAAATGTCCAATAACAAGAAATTGATAAAATAAACAATAGGTCTAGGAAATAGGAGAATCTTATGCAGATGATAAAATTCTACATCTTAGAATATGTAAGCTTTTGGGAAATAGACATAATCATAAAAATGAAAACCAATTGTAAAAATATAGATACTATGTGATTCAATTTTATAATACACTCATATGTGTGTATATAAAGTATATTTGCGGTGATAGGGATGTTTTGAACTGGACTGAGGTGATGATTGCAAAACTCTGCAGATTTACTGAAAATCATAAATTGTACTCTTTAAACAAGAAAATCATAGATATGTAAATTATATCTGAATAAAGCTGTGACAAAACAGAAGGAGACTGAAAGGAAACCTAAGTAGTGGTTATGTCCAGGTAGTGCAATTACGGGTGATTCTGATTTTCTTCTTTCCGCTTTACCGTATTTCACCATTTTTATAAACTCTATATGGCACTCTGGGATCATTTAAGTATATATTTAAATAAGTAATAAAAGTCTTTGTAGCAAAATATAGACATCTTTCCCTACCTGTTTTTGTTCAGGAAAGCATCTCCTCTGGTCACAGTGGTGTCTCCAGTTAACATCTTGAAAGTCGATGACTTCCCAGCCCCGTTAACTCCCAGGAGCCCAAAGCACTGAAAAGGATTAGGTAAGTGGTTTAAGCAAATTACAAAAAGTCTGAATATAAATGGCCATTATGAAACAGTCACCTCAACTTAGTTTTTATATAACATGACCCTAAAATATTCTCAAATATCAATGAAGAGTCAAATACTTTCTTGGTCTTCAGGAATAACATGGGCATTTTTTTTTCTTTTTTTGGTGTACTGTTCCTGGAAGTGGTGCAATACAGTACTTCCAGGAAGTACAGGCTGATGCATGGAGTGCATGGAGCAAACCCCTATTCCATCTCCAAGTTCCAAAAATCCATTTAATATATTGTCCTCAGATAGAGGATGTATCAGGTATTAAATTCTTAAGAATAGATAACGATACTGGAGTTTAACCAAAATGCCAAGAAGCAATCACATGGGCATTTAAACAGATATTTTATAATGAATGGGATCATTTTAAGTGTGGGTGTATTTTGCAATAATATTGAGTCCTTAGGTTGAGGCCAAAGTTAATGAGCAAAAAACAGTAATGAAGGCCAACTGGTCAAATTTCACTATCTAATCTGGCTAAAGGGCATAAAAGAACACAAACATGAATGAGAAAAGAGGAAATTTAATTTTAAAAATCTACTTGAATTTCATCATCATCTTGAACAGATCACAAACTCACACATTGTGCATGCATATTCTTAACACTGCCTGAGATTATCCAAAATCATTCTCTTGACATACAGGGTTCCCATTCCCTCTCAATGACTGATTGCTTCACATAGACACAAATAGAACAGCCTTTTAAAAAAGCCACTTTTTCCCCCTTACAAACATTGTTTTTGATTGGGTAGAGGCAGTCTGAATTAAGAGTTTGCCTACAGACGCAATGCAGGCAAAGCGCTTTACCTCGCCAGGAGGAATGCCGATACAAATTCTGTCGACAGCAGGCTTCCTCTTCCTTCTATATACCTGCAACAAACAAAGCACAAAAGTTCATGGGCCATGGTGATTCCCAGCGTTCCCATGCAGCTGTGAAAGAGGGAATTATAGCCCAAACACATCACAAAATACGACCAATCGGTAAGCCTAAGTCACATATTAGATGTGCTAAGAGCCTTGACCTTTGGTCCGTCTCTGCGACAACCTGTTCCTGCATGACTCTGAAGCTTAAAATACCAGTGAATTTCTTTTACTTTTTAATCCAATACCAACCTTTTATAAAACATACAGGTCATTAACATCTACATAATTTTTCATTTACTTCATATGTAAGATATTATAGATTTTTAAAAATTAAATTGACAAAGCTTGGTATAGATGCACATTTTGAGAAGCACGCTCCTTTTCTTAAGCAAGTCAGCCAAATGCTAGTTTCCAACGTATAACTCTGAAAAAATTAAAGACATGTTGTGACAGCCTGTATTCATTGCCTCACCTTAGTCAACTCCTTGATTTCCAAGATGTCATTCTGCCCTCCACCATCAAGAATTCTCTGTCTTTCCCGCCTGACATCTTCATCCTCATCATTCAGAGGAGGAAGCTTTGCCTTTATAGGTCTTAAGGAGACAAATTTAAGAAAAGTCAACAACCTTCCCAGCTATATTTCAAGAGGAAGATCATTTCTAAAGCAATCATATAAAACCTGCTCTCCACAGTGTCCGGGACTGGCAGTGCCGGGGCCTGGGGATGTCCTCTTTAGGAATACAGTTCAATTATCTGCTTAGAGTTCTATGCAGTCCCCGCACCACTGACAACTATATCTGTCTGCTTCTCTTCTGTGACCCTCAGGCAGGTGCTCCAGGAGTTCTGAGAAAAAGCTCACCTGGGCCTGATGAAGAATCTGTACTGGATCAAAACAGTGATGAGGAAGAACACCACCCCTTCCACGGCCATGGCAAAGAGGTTTCGTCCCACCAAGTCCCAAGAGAGCGGCGAGACGAAGCGATTCTCCCCTGGTAGACACAGTGCAGAGATCCAGTCAGAATGGCAGCACCAAAGACAACAGCCCTTCCTCAAGTTCAGGCCCAAGTGCACTCTCTTCCTGGAAACACCAATGGTCATCACCCATGACTAGGAGAAAAAAATGTAAGGGAGTGACCACTGTCCAAATCCGACTCAAGGGAAGGTTTTGGGAAAACACACTGTGATTCAGTATCAATCAGAACTTCAGAGCCAACGTATGTTAGATCTGTAACATCATCTAAGATATGTAATGTCTCTTTTTTAATGAGATGCCAAAATCCTTTGTAAAAAGGCAACAATCCAGGGTAATTTGGGGGGCTCAGTATTTTAACAAATCATAAGTTTCACTAAGATTAGAGAGCACTTTAAAAACATGCCCCATCAGTAGCATGTAATTTAAAGTAGTGACTCAATCAAATCACCTGGTTTTGTGTAAGTATTCCTTTAAATTCCTTATACATCTTCTTTGTACTTCCCAATTTAAGAAAAAAAAAGGAAAAGAAACAGTCTCTCCCCTATGTCCCTTAAATAAGAATGTCCATATCACTTACATGAGCCAGTGGATAAAGAATAGTAATGTGGCCGCAGGAGAAATATTTCTAAAGACTATAAAGGTAGAAAGAGCTGCAGTGAATCACCTTTTTATAGACTATGTAAAAGATAATATACGGCCACATCTGCAGACCCATGATTTCCCTAATGAGCCCAAGTTTGCATCTTCTGACTCTCTGGCCTGTATCGAATTATCAAAGCTGTGGTTTGACTTTTGCAGTGACTTTGACTATCCCAACCAGTGGCATTCAGCACCGGATTCAAGCCAAAGGCACTATTTTCCTTACCTCCACTTTTTTCAGTGCTCTCACAGGCACAAATGGTTGTGTCACAAGACCCATGCCAGCTATGTTGTCCTCGTCCCTATCAGTAGCGGGAAGGCCTGCACCCAGTCACCAGCCTCTTTGCAAAACAAAGGCCAGGGCGGCAAGGCCCACGCAAACTGCCATCTGGACTAAAACACCCGCCAACCACTGCGGCACTCACCAAACCTTTCCAAGGCATCAGCCATTGCTTGGTTTTTCACCATGTCAATGAGCCCCCGTCCCAGGCAAAAATGTGGGAAGATCAAGAACACAGACTTCAGGATATCATTGATGTCATTCAGCTTCTAAAAAAGATTAAGACAGAGGGAGGCTGAATGTCATTCATGGTTGAAGCTAGAAATTTATCAAAGCCTGAGGTATGGGAGTAGAGAAAGAAATCTGATACCCTGAGGCCAAGCTGAACCTTTGAATTCAGATACCAGTAAAATAGCCGCAGCCATAACTGATAATATATAACATAATAAAAATTTTGCTCTTTAGAAAATTTGGAATAGTACTATGAATATGGAGAAATAGGAGCAAAGTTTACAAACATGGTTCTGTTTAACCAGAAGCAAATCCATCAAAATATCTGCTTAGCATTTTCAAAGCAAATTGCTCATGTCTGGGTCAATATTTCAGTTTCAGGATTCAGTGCAAATTTAAGCAATTCTTCTTAAATATACCAAGCCAGCAGCAGCCAAATATCCAACAGCGGAGTCAGTTGCTGTATGCTGGATGCACCGGGCTAGGGCACAGGCAAGGCAAAGGTTAAAATGAAACAGTCTCTCTCCTGAGGAAGAAGGGTGTGGACACAGAAGATTACTACTCAGCTGGGTATATGTTGTACAGGGGCAGGAGCTGAGGACACAGAGTAAGGGGAAGCACCTCCCAGAAGGTGGGAAAGGAAAGCTTCCCATTCGAGCTCCATCTGGAAGGGTCCGTCACTAGCAGACCCTGTGCCACAGGAAGGGCATTTGGAGCCAGGCCTACAGGAGAGTGCAGTGGGTGTAAGGGATGACTCAGCTGAAGATTACAGCCTCCTGGGAAAGGAAGGCTATGATGGGAATGGGCCGGGAAAGGTTGTCCCTGTCTAGAAGGCCTTATGTGCTGAGTTAAGGTGTTTGGACAAAGGCTAATTAATGACAACAGGAACGGACAGGGCCCCTTGTTTAAGAGATCTGTAATTGTAAGGAACTGACAAGGTAACCAGCTGAGTGTGGGAAATAAACAAAAACAAAGCACATGAAATGACTCAGAAGCTACCAGCTTGATAGGAACGCACCCAGGAAAGTGTGACAGGGAAGGAAAGAGAAACGTTAAGTTCTAAGGGGAAAGATAATTAGGACCTTTCAAGTTTGGGGTATCTGTAAATTATCAAAACGGAGCTATGCACTAGGCAAGTGAGACTGTGAGACTAGAGTTCACAGGACCCATCAGGGATAAAAGGCATTGAGTTGAGAGAGAACAACACAAGACACTGAGAGAGCTGGTGGGAAGAGCCTCCGGAATGAATGGTGCCACCCAGAGATAGCAGCGGAAGTGGACAGCAAAGACGGCCGATGAAAAAATATCGGAAAAGCAACATTTACCCAGGAAGGAGTCAAAGAGAACTTGTCCAAGGAAAGAGAAAGGTTTGACTGATGGCATACAAGGAAAAGAAAGAGAGAAATACTACACAAGCCCCAGGAAGAAAGAATCTGAATAAGGACCGAGTGGTGGGCAGTGTCAGTCCCACAAGCAAGGGATATGAGGTCCTGACTAAACACTGTCCTCGCCAATGCTCCTCCCAGCTGGAGCTGCTCCTCCCACAGAACTCACGTGGTCAGTGAAGAGCTCCAGCACGAATGTGGCCACGCTGCCGTTGATCCCGATGAAGAGGTTCACGCTGGTCAGGACCACGTAGGCAGTGCTGGGGATCTTGAACATGAAGGAGGCTGGATACATGAGCGGTGTGATCGACCACCTGGTGAGGCACAAAGATGAATGTCCACTGCGTGTCCCCAGCCTTCCCTCTAACATTGAGCACCACATGCCTCCCACTGACATCACCACCCAGTGGTGCCTTACCCATACAACAAAAGTAGGAGGGCCAGCACAGGCAGGTTGGTGGAGGACACATAGGACTTCTGCTGGAAGCAGATGAAGATGATAATGACCAGCGTGGCGGGGACCACATAGTTGCACTAAAAGTGAAACAAGGAAATAAAATTCACCCCTGTGTCAAACATACACCACCTCCCAAGTCCTCACCATCATTGGACAGGAAAGGGCAAGAAAAAACATATTGGAGAATAACTTTGAATTAATGAAGCCACATAAAGTATTAATCAATATGCTGGACAATACATTTTGACAAGCATTTTACCCTTGGCTGATTTTTATAAACTGAATGCCCTTTCTGTCTTTCCAACAGCTAAGCCAAGGTGTCATGCTCAGTAAACTTACTGAACGATGGATACCCAGTCAGAGACATTTTGATTTCACAGGCAGCAAATAAGCTTTCATTATTCTTCCCAAAGATGACTGTGTCTGTTTCATCATTAATGTTGTATTATAGTCTGCCCAAGTTCAATCTCATGTGTAATCTATTTATGAGGTA